CGAAAATCAAACCTAGCTTGCTGATAAAAAAATAATTAACTGGTTTCCAAAATGTGTTCCTTTATACTCATTGAAAACAAATGGTAAATCTGTCTGTTTTTCTTCGATTTTGAGGTTGTTTTTTCATTATAAAACTGGTGAATGTCTTGTGCCAAGTAGCAACTAGCTAGAACATATTCTTATTTACTTAAAACTTTGTTTTTCCCTTTGACAGTCTAGCCGACTAGTGGTAAAATTGCTGCATTTTTTAAAACATGGCAAGGTCATAATGTTGGACAAAATTGCGAATGTAATCTGTTGAAACCTTTTGACTACATCTTTTAACGGTTGTACTTCTTGCTTGTACTTTCTCGCAGGAAAAGGTAATTGTTTGATGGATGCATGTTTATTAAATATGATTGGGATACAAGATTCATCGTTAAAACTTCGTCGTCATTTATTTAATTATATTAAAGCAAATGAAACAGCAATACATGATATGTGGAGGTACTCCAGAGTGGCTTTTGATCAAGAATTAGGAATTGATTTAGAAGACAGTATACTTGAAGAAGTAAGGCTAAAGGAAATGTGTGTATGTAAAAAAAAGTCAAGCTATTCTGTTTCACATAAAACATTTTTTAACGGAGATTTTTCCAAGTGTAGAAGAATCGTTGTAAGAAAAATGCATGATCATACATTTTTCCATTAATATTAATTTTACGTCAAATCACTTGCTTGTTTTTAATTCTAAACCCTAGAAAGTAAATCCGGTTTTATTCAGTACCTTTTTTTGACGGAGAAAAACAACTCTTTTAGTCCGTTGAAGTAAAAAATTTTCTATTGAAATGCACTTTTTCGCCCTAAGAATTCAAACACCACGATGTTTGTCTACTCTGTTCGTCTTTCTGTTTTCATGCTAATATCTTTACGTATTTTGTCGATATCTTTTCAGGAGTGGAAACAGATTGTTGAAGAAACAGAAGTTGTTGATGGTGGTAGATGTAAATTTTTACAATCATGTCATATTTTTGCAGCAGCAAACATGTTAAAACGTCCAATAATAGTGCTAGGAGAAGAATATATTAATACTGCTAATGAAAGTAATATACAATTGAATGATATAATTGGTGTATATTTAACATTATTATCAGCATCCATTAATACAAGTCATTATCCAATATTATTAGCATATGTTAGTAGTCATTTTACACCATTGGTTATGCTTAAAAAACAATCTTCTGCTTCAACCACATCAGATACTACAACAGCCTTACAATCATCATTACCCTTGTCATTTTTATCAAATTCTATATTGGTACGTGATTTGCCAGTTCATTACCTAAATTATATTGAGCAACGATCACTTTCCTGAATACTCCTATGGCACCAATCAGATTGAGTTTCGGTGCTCTGGTGTCAATCGCATTAATTGACACCAATTAGACTGAGTTTGGGTGTCCTGGTGTCAATAGCTCTAGTTGACACCAGACAGACTGAGTTTCGGTGTCCTGGTGTCAATAGCTCTAATTGACACCAATTAGATTGACTTTCGGTGCACTGGTGTCTGTAGCTTTAATTGACACTAAACAGGTTGAGTTTGGGTGTCCTGGTGTCAGTAGCTCTAGTTGACACCAGACAGACTGAGTTTGGGTGCACTGGTGTCAATACCTTTAATTGACACCAATCAGACTGAGTTTCGGTGCTCTGGTGTCAATAGCATTAATTGACACCAATTAGACTGAGTTTCGATGCACTGGTGTCAATAGCACTAGTTGACACCAGACAGACTGAGTTTCGTTGCACTGGTGTCAATAGCACTAGTTGACACCAGACAGACTGAGTTTCGATGCACTGGTGTCAACAGCTCTAGTTGACATCCGTTAGTGGTGTCAATACCTTTAATTGACACCAATTAGACTGAGTTTCGGTGCACTGGTGTCAATAGCTCTAGTTGACACCCGTTAGTGGTGTCAATAGCTTCTTGGTGACACCAGCGGTGGTGCCAATAGCCATTCCGAAAAAATATGAAGTGTTTGAATTTAGCATGCCTCAAAAACTGCTTGGTTTCCCCATAAATCGACTGAAATTTCAAAACAATGATAACTATCACCCTAGTTCGTTCTTCATTCAAAACAAGCATTTTTTTCTAGAGCTTTTAATGAATATCAACTTCATTTTCGCATAAAGCTAAAGTTAAACTGTCGAAGAGCTGATATTATCGCTACACATCACTTCTGAACAAACTCCAAAATTCTAGTCTAGACTTCTTCAACATCAACTGTGTACTATTCATAAAACTATAGATACATATTTATGCTTTGTGATACTTCGGGCTATATTTGTATACGATTAAGAGGAGCATCAACAGTTCACAAAGTGCAAGGAGCTAGGCCCTTACAAAAAAGCAGAAGACTGGAAGATATATTGATTGGTTGGAAAAGAAAAAAACGAGTTTCAACCAATCAATATATCTTCCAGTCTTCTACTTTTTTATAAGGACCAAGGAGCTACACTCGATAAAGTCATCATAAAGGATGACTCTGGATTTTGTTGGACAAATTCGATGATTTCATCTTTGTTTCTTTGTCTATTCCATCACTAGTTGCTCAATGTATTGCTAAAACAAGCAGGTAAGTAACTTTCTAGTTAACATTTGAGTGATGCATGCACCTTTTGCCGTATGAAAA